TTCTCCAAGCCAACGTATCCAAATACATATACCCGATGAGTGGACTTTTTTTGTTTACATTCATTATATACATTCCTTGGATAGTCAATTGTCTAAAGTTGGAACAGTTTGGAGGGAAAAGCTATATAAGGTTTGCAATGATCTTTGTCCACCAATTACTGGACAACCGGATCCAAATTCCACAAACAGCCGTGGTTCTTCACCTAAGTGGTGCTTCTCCCGCTAGACATCCAGTGCCATGCATTTTCTCTTGCAGATCTTTCCTTGCATCATTCCTCCAACCCCAGCAGATATCCTGGCTGAGCTTGTTTTCTCTGTGAGGGGCTACACTGCACACTGGGGCGCTTGAGAAGGGCTTGATGGGCCGGGCACGTTGGCTCACGCCTGTAATTCCAGAACTTTGGCAGGTCGAGTCGGGTGGATCACCTGAGGTCAGGCGTTCAAGATCAGCCTGGCCAATATGGTGAAACCCCGTCTCTACTAAAAATACAGACAAATTAGCTGGGCATGGTGGTGTGTGCCTGTAATCCCACCTACTTGGGAGGCTGAGGCAGGAAAATCGCTTGAACCCGGGTGGCAGAGGTTAGTGAGCCAAGATGGCACCATTGCACTACAGCCTGGGCGACAGAGAGAGACTCCAATTCAAAAAAAGAAAAAGAGAAAAAAAAAAAGAAAAGGGCTTGCTGCAGGGAGAGTCAGCGCAGGGAGGGGCATCCTTTGCACTCCCACTGCCCCCGCACATCTCCTGGGTAGAGCACTGCTCCAGAGAGCAAACTGTTTCGTTATCTGTGCACCATTCCACTACAAGCCCCACAGGGGCCTGCGTAAATCCATCTCCAGGCCCTGCACCCACAAACTGGCAAAGGAAGTTTCAGGAAAAGTCTTTCGAATAGGAGTCTTTGGGCTGCCTCTGGTTCATTTCCTTAGGAATTATCCTCCCTGCCCTTCTTGACACGAAAGGGCCTGACGGCTTCCAGATCTCAACAGGAGCTCCCAGGGGCTCCTGGCAGGAGGATGTTCCGCCTCTCTGGAGGAATGCAAGAGCCAAGGAGCCCCTCCTGTTTTAGTTGCACCCCCATCCCCTTTCTCCACCCTGCACCATTCCCTTACCCTCTGTGTGAGGCAAAGCCTGAAGTCCCTCCTTCCCGCCCTTCCTCCTGCCTGAAGTCCCTCCTTCCCGCCCCTTCTCCTGCCTGAAGTCCCTCCTTCCCACCCCTTCTCCTGCCT